ATTTAGTTTCTCAGTAAGTGCTGTCCATGAAACATTCAGAGAATTCCTGAAGCCAGCCATTTCTTACTACCTATGCAAGCCAGTGGTACATCTTTACTTTTAATTTGTGAGCTTTTCACAACTGTAACCTGCCAGCATGATTATTTAAAATTGAGGTGGATGCTAATACCACTCTGCTTCCTCTATTTCTGAAGGAATAAATGCTATCTTCAATGGCTTCTAAAAAATCTTCTTTCTGTGGCTTGTTTCTTTTAGCCTCTCTGCCCTGCCCTGCCCTGCCCCTCTACCCTCTTGTCTGCTCAGCCACACTAGACTGTAAAGGTGTTTCTGCCTTAGGCTGGTGTTTGCCTTCTCTATTCCTAGTACACTTTTGATTGCAGCTAGCTTCCTCTCTTCCCTTAGCTTTCTGAGAAAAAAAAGTCATCACACCTGCTTGACCAGAAACATTCCTGCTAATACTGCTTTTCTGTTCTTTAACAAGAATGTGCTGACCTTCTTTTTTTTAATGCTGTTATGAATATCAATGTACAGGTATCGTGTAGTTCCTGCTTTCAGGGTTTTTAAAGAGATATATTTATGTGTGTGTTATGCCTACATTGTGTGTAATCTGTATGCAAGCCTGTTCCTGGGGAGGCCAGAAGAGGTTGGTGAATCTCCTGGAACTTGAGTTACAGACAGTTCTGAGCCACCATGTGGGTGCTGGTTGCTGAACCTGGTTCCTCTGCAAGAACAAGTGCTCTTAACTGCTGAGCCATCTCCTCAACTTCTTAATTGATTTTTTTGTTTTTTGCTTATCCAAATTTATTACTGTGTCTGTGCCATGGTGCACATGTGCAGGTCAGGACAACCTCTGCCTTTATATAGGTCCTGGGAATGGAACTTAAGCTGCCAGGCCTATGAAGAAACCCCCTTATTCACTGAGCCATTTGAGTTTCTTTGATTATTTATCGTTTCCTGGTGTTTTCCCACAGGTGGGCCGGGAAGATGGGTCAGTTGGTAAAATGCCTAAGGAACTGAGTTCAGATCCCTAGCACCCATGTAAAAGCTAGATTTAGCAGTATATCATGAAATTAGATAGCAAGCCAGCTGGGTGTGGTAATCCATGCCTTTAAACCTATGTCTGGGGAGGAAGAGACAGAAAGGTCTCTGTGAGTTTGAGGCCAGCTTTGTCTGTACAGCATGCTTCTATGCAGAATCCTTCCATTCCAACAGAGTCCCCTTCAGGAGCATCTGGTGAGCGGTAGACTCCTGGCACAAGTGCCCCCTACACCGTGGACCTGTTTAGACAACAGCATTATTGACCACAGTGGATCAGCCCTGCTGTAGTTGTTCGCAGCTGTTGATCTATGGTCTGTCACCGTGAGAGCAGCTTGCAGTGACTGAAGTGCTGTTGCTAGGATGATTTGCTGCTGAGCTTTTTCCTAGAACTCAGAACAGATTTTTTTGGTAGAACTTCAGGTATGTTAAATTTCTGTTTCATGAATTTTCTTTTTCTTTTTTTTTTTTAATTCTTTTATTTATTTATTATGTATACAATATTCTGTCTGTGTGTATGTCTGCAGGCCAGAAGAGGGCACCAGACCTCATTACAGATAGATGGTTGTGAGCCACCATGTGGTTGCTGGGAATTGAACTCAGGACCTTTGGAAGAGCAGTCAATGCTCTTAACCACTGAGTCATCTCTCCAGTCCCATGAATTTTCTTGAAAAGAAAATTGGCCTCTTGTCTTTACCCTGGCAGATGGTACAATGAAGAAATGACTTAAAACAGTTGTTCTCAATGCTGTCGTGTGCACCACACACAAGTTTCATCACACTGGGCGTCTTTGAGTCCCGAGTCGGACTCTCAGCTGGAATTTAAAGATTCTGCACAGAATAGTTGCTGCTCTATTGGGACCCAAGTTCTGACCCAGCACCCAGGTCAGGCAGCTCACAAATCTGTAACTCTAGCTCTATGGGATATGATGCCCCTTTTTGCCCTTTGTGGGCACTGGCACAAACAACACATAAAAGCCATATCTAGCCGGGCGGTGGTGGCGCACGCCTTTAATCCCAGCACTCGGGAGGCAGAGGCAGGCGGATCTCAGTGAGTTCGAGACCAACCTGGTCTACAGAGCTAGTTCCAGGACAGGCTCCAAAGCCACAGAGAAACCCTGTCTCAAAAAAAAAAAAAAAAAAAAAAGCCATATCTATCAGGTCTGTTCTACAGAGTTAACACTTCGTACTCCTAAAAACACATTCTTCGGTCATTATTAATAAAGTGTGTGTCACATGGGACGGTCTTTGGACAGATTTCCAAAAGGACCAAAAGAACTTGAGGTTCTCTCTCTCTCTTTTTTTCTTCTTTTATTTTCTTTTCTTCCCCCTAGAGGCACAGAACCAAAGTGCTGAGCCAAAAGCATAGATAGTAGCAAATAGTAGCAAGAGAAGTAGGGAGGTCATAGGTGTTGTCTGTATGTCCTGCTGTATCTGTGTTTTAGCTTTAGCATTGTGTGTCTAATAAAAAAAATCTATAAAGAGGTCAGGCAGTAACTAATTCACAGTTTCAGGACAACATGGACATGTTTCTGCAGTGCATCAGTTTATACCCCAACCTTTATTAATAGCTGAGAGTTCTGGTCCACTGTGTGTTGTCCCAGACGCTGGGGGTGGAGACAAGAACACTGAATTCTGGGCTGGAGAAATGGTTCAGTGATTAAGAACACTGGCTGCTCTCACAGACCAGGGTTTGATTCTCAGCACCCACATGGCAGCTCACAGCCATCTATAACTCAGTTTCAGGCGATCTAAAACTCTCTTCCTCTTTGGGCACCGGGCATGCATGTGGTGCACGAGCATTGCATGCAGGTAAAACACCCATACACAGAAAATAAAAATATTGAGTCATTGGTTCTATAATTTAAAAAACTTTTATTTGGCCAATAGTGGTGGCACATGCCTTTAATGCACTCAGGAAGCAGAAACAGGTGGTTCTCATGAGTTTGGGGCCAGCCTGGTCTACAGAGTGAGTTCCAGGACAGCCAGGACTGTTAACACAGAGAAACCTTGTCTTGAAAACAAACAAAAACCTTTTTTTTTTTTTGCTTAGGAGGGTAAGTTATGTAAAGCGGTGCTCATGTGGCAGTGAAAGGTCGCCTTTCAGGATATGGTTCTCTCCTTTTACTTTGTGGATTCTGGGCATCAAACACAGGTTGTCAGTCTTGGTGACAAGCAATCTCACCGATTCAGTCATCTTGTTACTCTTCTAGAGGACCTGAGTTTGCTTCCCAGCACCCACAACTGCTTGTTAACTCCAGCTCCAGATGCTGCGCACACATTGCATACTGTAATGTAATTCTTTCTTCCCAAGCTTAAACATTGAACATGGTATTTGATCATCAGTAAAAGGTCTTTGGACACAATTCAAGGCTGAAGAGATGGTTTAGTGGTTAAAAGTATATACTGCTCTTGCAGAGGACCTGACTTCAATCTTAGCACCCACATCATGTATCTCATAGCCCCTCTAACTCCATCTTCCAAGGACTTGATATCTCTGTCTTCCAAGGGCACCAGAATTTTCACATTCCCCCCACACAGAGACAAATACATATACATATACTTACTAAAAATATTTTAAGTTTCTAAACAAAATTTGCTATTTAGATATTTAGCTTATATTTGATTTAGTTCACTTACCCTGTCCTGCAGGAACTTTTCTGAGTTTAATGAAGATCCTACAAGACCTGAAAGACAGGTACAATCAAAGTTCAATAGTACTTGAATTTGAATAGGAACAGACCCAGAGGATAGTGTCTCGGAGACCAGTCCATCAGCCAGTCATCTTTTTCTGTCAACTGAGCCTACCCACCTCCCTTTTTCCCTTCTCTGAAGTCATACAAAGAACTCTGAAGGCACAGAGTGTGTTTGTATCATTCAAGGTGTGCATTCCTTGGCAGTCTTCAAAATTTATCATGAGGCAAGGGTTGTGGTTCAGTGCAGAATACATGTTCAGCCTGTGTGAGAGCCTGGCTTCAGTCATCGCTCTCAACAGCAGTTGTCACTTGGAGGTTTCTATGCCTTCGTGAAGAGAAAGATCCAATGTCTGCTTTGGATAAAACCCGGAGAGCTGTACTTGGAAGTGCTGAGTTGCGTTGTTTCTGTTGCAGGCTAGCTGCAGCATTTCACTGTGCACTGACGGGGTTGTGCTAGTATTACAGACTCCCTCCAGTTCTGAGGAACTGCAATTTTACACATTCTCACTTGTGCTCTTTAGTCTGACTTGGACTAAAGTGTCATCCTTAGTGAAGTGACATCACAAGCAGCATTGTCACTCATTCCATTAACAACAGCAAATGTGACCTATCAGACTCCAAATAAATCCCTATCCCCAAATCCAGCTCATTAAAGTTGAGATAGTGACTACTGTGTACACATTGCTTCCCTCAATTTTCTTGCCATTGTGAAGCACAGTAAGGCACATGTTTCCAAATGGGTATGACTGGTACTTGAATACGGGTCATTAAATGCCTTCAAAGAATGGAAAAATAGGAAATTCGTGTCATGAATCTGGAGATGAGAGGACACCTTGGGAAAGCTGGTTCTTTCCTTCCCACCTGTGGGCCTGGGAATCGGGTGTGGTGTTGGTCAGCTTCTCACACAGCGTAATGTGGTAAAGGTTGCAGTAGTCCTTATTTCACCTAATGCCTTTTCCCAAGCTTTCCTAGCCCCGAGAGAGGTTCATTCCCTGTAGTTTACTAACAGTTCCTAGAGTGTTACCATTGTATCAGCAGGTTCTTGAGCTGTGTCCAGGCAATAACGGCTTTCCACTCTTGGTAACTGGAAAGGAAATGTTTATGGAGCTAGAGGCTGGCTGTGAGAAGTTTGGGGCACTGCAGTCTTGAGACGACACGTGGTGGTGGAAGGGAGACAAGAGTGGTCTGTGTGTCTTACGGTCTGTTGACATGGTCTTTCATATATTTACCTCCCCGTTTTGTTTTGTTTCTCATGTTTTGTTTCTGTTAGGAGAGAACATTGAAATTATTCTCTAAGCTATCTGAAGAGAGTGACTAAATGCTCCTGGGTCAGGCTGTCTGTGGGTATGAAGTGGTTGGGAGACTCCAAGAACATGGTGGTGAATGGCAGGAGAAATGGAGGCAAGTTGTCTAATGACCATCAGCAGAATCAATCAAAATTACAGCACTCGGGCAAGGACACCCTGAAGACTGGCAGAAACGCCGTTGAGAGGCGGTCCAACAGATGTATGTACACGCTTCGTCTCTGTTTTCCCTGTGGTGCCACCTTCTTCCTTCAGCTTCCACATGCTCTTGTCACACGCTCCCCTCTGCTCTCACACAGCAGGAGTCTTTTCATTCTCTGAAGTCCATTCTGATTCTTTTTCTTCTTTTCTCTTTTTTGGTGTGTATGTGTGTGTGTGTCTCCCATTATGTTGCCAGAGTTTAACTTAAACTCCTCGGCTCAAGTGATCCTCCTGCTTCAGCCTCCCCAGTAGTTGGGACTACAGACAGAATAGCAGTTTTGATTCTTATCATGTAAAATGTGAAACTTAAGTTTCATGCTTTATGTAATTTCTGTGATGCTTATTTACCCATAACTTATAGAAAGTTTATCTGTTCTGTAGGAGTTTTTAAAATGCTACTACTGAATTTCTTTTTTTTAAATATTTATTTATTATTATGTATACAATATTCTGTCTGTGTGTATGTCTGCAGCCAGAAGAGGGCATCAGGCGTCATTACAGATGGTTGTGAGCCACCATGTGGTTGCTGGGGATTGAACTCAGGACCTTTGGAAGAGCAGGCAATGCTCTTAACCACTGAGCCATCTCTCCAGCCCTACTACTGAATTTCTTATATTTAACTATAAATAAATGTCTTGATGTAAAATCCATAAATATTTCATGGAGCAAGCTGAACCATACAGTCACCTCTTCTACATAAGGAGTGGACGAAGAAGAAATGGCCCTTAGGGCACCCTCACAGTCCCTGCCATCTGTTCAAATTTCATGGACTGCTGAACTACAGGGAAAGCCTATAAAATTGTTGTGACTGTCTATGGTTTTTGGTGGGGATGAGGCTATTTTTTTGAGAGTTGAAGAAATTGTAGGATGGATGGTTCCTGTTTCTTGTCTCCCCTCCACAACAAAATACCCTAGAACAAGCCTATGCCTGAGTGGATAGTTACAGGAATATTATTCAGAAGTGTCTGCCCATGCTCAGGATGACTCTCAATTTCTACTTTTTCTAACATTGGTCAGTCAATATAGAATTCCTCAGTTGTGTTGGCTGGCCTGCTGTAGGTTCAAAACATGGTCTCCTTAGCCTTACTAGTCCATGCTGTTCTTTGGGCTCAGGTGCCTTTACTCTTTCTAGATCTGCTCAGATCACTGTTTCTGTGGAAAATTGGGCATAATTCCTGTTTGAAATTAAGAGTGTGAGGGAGCCCCAAACTAACTAGCTCTTCTCTGCGTGGATACCAACTCCCCCCAAAACTGCTGTCAGCATAGGCTGAAAACTGCTCTCTCCGTGGTATTGTAGTAGTCCAAAAACTAGGCATTTCTGAAACTTTTAAATAAGATTGTTGACTTCTTGTTTTTTAGTAAAAGGTTTTCATTTAAGTTAAATTGTTGAAGATATAGGATGTAGAGAAGACAGCATCATGCTGAATGTTGTTTGTTGGGCAGGTTGAATGATGCAGAGAGCCAGTGACAGAGGAGAAGAAGGAGCAAAGTGTTTGTGTCAAAGAAGATGGTCAACCTGACTTAAAACCAGGGCCCAGAACACATAAACCAAATGCTGACAGCACTTGAGATTTTCATGGACAGTGTAGCAGGAAATCGGGTACTACAGCGATCCACTTTCAGCAGTGGGCCCAACAATAGGCCAAAGGTGAACAGGAAAAGGGTAGATTTAAACAGCCCCGTAAATGAACTAGACCAGTCAGATATCAGAAGAACATTTTGTTCACCAACAGTGTTACTCATTATTCTCAAAGTACACATGAAACATTCTCTAGGGCATATAATATGTCAGGCTATGTAAAAAAACATAAGCAAACTTAAAAAGATTGAAATCATAAAAATTTCTGCCATAGGGCTGGAGAGATGGCTCAGCGGTTAAGAGCATTGCTTGCTCTTCCAAAGGTCCTGAGTTCAATTCCCAGCAACCACATGGTGGCTCACAACCATCTGTAATGGGGTCTGGTGCCCTCTTCTGGCTTGCAGGCATACACAGACAGAATAATGTATACATAATAAATAAATAAATATTTAAAAAAAATTTCTACCATAGAATGAAAATTAGAATCAATACAAATTTTCTACTACACCATCATAAATGACTTGATTCAAAGAAAAAAATCAAAAGGGAAAGCAAGTTGAATAAGGTGACACATAACCTTAATCCCAGCACTCGGGAAGCAGAGGCAGGCAGATCTCTGAGTTCAAAGCCAGCCTGTTCTACAGAGCGAGCTCCAGGACAGGCTCCAAAGCTACACAGAGAAATTCTGTCTCAAAAAACCAAAATAAAAAACCGTTTCAGGGGGCTGGAGAGATGGCTCAGAGGTTAAGAGCACTGACTGCTCTTCTAGAGGTCCTGAGTTCGATTCCCAGCAACCACATGGTGGCTCACAACCATCTGTAATGAGATCTGGTGCCCCCTTCTGGCCTGAGGGCATACGTGGAGGCTGAACACTGTGTACATAATAAATAAATAAATCTTTAAAAAAAAAACAACTTTCAGTTCATCAAAAATGAAGTGCAGGGCTAGAGAGATGGCTCAGCAGTTAAAAGTGTTTACTGTTCTTTCAGAGAACCTAAGTTTAAAGTCTATCACCCTCTTCTGGCCTTGGCAGGCTCCCACATGTATGTGGTGCACATAAACTCAGACAGGCATACATACATGGGTGTGAAGTACAGAACTGGGCATAGTGGCACATGCTTGTAATCTTATCTCCTGGCAGGGTGAGGCAGAAAGATTGCCTAAGTTTGAAGTCAGCCTGTGCTATATAACAATATTCTGTCTCAGAAAACAAGCCAGGCAGTGGTTGTACACACGTTTAACCTCAGCACTTGGGAGGCAGAAGCAAGTGAATCTCTTGAGTTTGAGTCCAGCCTGGTCTACAGAGTGAATTCCAGGACAGTCAGGGCTACAAAGAGAAACCCTGTCTTGGGGGGGGGGGGGAGGAGGAAGAAGAAAACAAACAAAAACAGAGGTTAAGAGCACTGGCTATTTTTCCAGAGGTCCTTAGTTTAATTCCCAGCACTCACATGGTGGCTCACAACCATCTATAATGAGATCTAGGCCCTCTTCTGGCATGCAGGCATACATGCAGGCAGAACACTACACATAATAAATAAATCATTAAAATAAAAAAAAATCTCCTAACTGCTGCAGTAATCAGCACAAGAATGATCCAGCACATCTGTGTTCCTGGAATAGATTTGAGAACCAGAATAGATCTCACAATTTTGATCTGTCTGCAAAGGTAGGAGGGTTTTTATAAAGGCTCATGGTTTCTAGACAAGTGCCTTCCCATTGAACTGCATCCCTAGCCCTGTTTTGTTTCTTTTTTTTTTTTTTTTTTTTTGTAGTGGCCAGGAAAAATACAGTGAAAGAAAATCAAATTTCTGCATCCAGAATGAAGGGAACCTGGCACAATATGTGTGTATGAAAAATTAAAAGTCCCAGGAACAAACACAGGCAACATTTTCCTGACTTCACATTAAGCAAATGTTAAGTAGGATGTTAAAAACACAAGAAACAAGAAAAAATTCAAAGTCACAAACCATGTGTTACAGGTAATCATCAAAAAGTGAAAAGACAAACTTACAAAATATGTTTGTAAAGGGCTATCTCCAGAATATGTGAAGATCTCTTGAACACCAGGGTAAAAGACAAAATCCAATTTTAAAATGGACTAAAGATCTTAGTAGACATATTGCTCCAGAGATACACAAGCAGCCAGTAGATATTTTGTGAGCCCAGCATATTTAGACAGCACTTCACTGTCTCCTGGATGGTTAGAATCAAGAGGAGAGGCAGTAGCTGCTATTGGCAAGGACTGGGAGCCTTGGACTTCCCCACTCTGGTGGAGATGAGAGCCCCACTGGGAAGACTTCGTGGACACACAGTATTTTACACAGAGGTTTGTACCTGCATTATCCATAATAATCGCCAAATGTAAAACAGGTCAGATGTATCTACCAGCTGCAGTGGAGTATTCTTTTACCCATAAGAACAAAAATATTGCCGGGCGGTGGTGGCGCATGCCTTTAATCCCAGCACTCGGGAGGCAGAGGCAGGCGGATCTCTGTGAGTTCGAGACCAGCCTGGTCTACAAGAGCTAGTTCCAGGACAGGCTCCAAAACCACAGAGAAACCCTGTCTCGAAAAAACAAAAAAAAAAAAAAGAACAAAAATATTGATAGCATAACATGATGAAATATGTCAATTGGAAGAAGCTAGTCACAGAGAATCACACATACTATGGTTCCACCATGTGAGGTTCTCGGAACAGACAAATTGAAAGAGACAAAGTAGATTAGTGGTTGCTGCAGTCTGAGCCATTGGGGAGGACAGTGAGGCTTCTTTTGAGTCAAAGGGGGGGGGGGCATGTTGAGAAAACAATTCTGTGACTCTGGTAATCATGGAGCTATTTGTTTCACCTGGTGAATTGTGTTGATCAATTTCAACACAACTTTGAGAAAATGCAGCAGGTGTAGGCCTGAGGCTATATATAGCTCAGTGGTCATTTTGCATGCATGATGCCCTAGGTTTGACCCAGGCAACAATTTAGATTGCTTTTTATTGTTGTGATTTTTATGTGTATGGGTGTTTTGCCTGCATGTGTGTCTGTATATGTACCTGGTACCTTCAGAAGTCAGATCCCATGCCACACAGTGATAATACATGCCTTTAATCCCAGCACTCAGGAGTCAAGGCAGGAGGATCTCTCTGAGTTCGAGACCAGTGTGGTCTACAGAGTGAGTTCGAGGACATCCAGGGGGTGGAGTCAGATCCCATGGGACTGGAGTTGCAGACAGTTGTGAGCTGTTATATGAGTGCTAGGAATTGAACCCAGATCCTCTGGGAGAGTAGCCAGTGCTCTTAATGGCCGAGCCATCTCTCCAGCCTCTTTGATAATTAGATAACTTTTCACATACCTGATTGCAACAGTCATATATCTACCTCTTAGCAAAGACTCTTGTTTATTTTGTGAAAGAATGGATGAAAAGGTTAAACCTCCCACTGTGACTCATTCTTCATGTGCTGGTTTTGAGAACCTAAACTCAGCACTTTGTAAATTGTGTGCTGATTCCAGGAGTGGACTGAACACTACCCATCAGCCCTCCACAGCGCTGATGAAACTTTATGCATGCTTTCTCTGCATTGCTTCTCCACAGTGAAACCCAACCACTTCATGCTATCCATTCAGTTCTCTCATTGAGAATTCTCTCAGACACAAGTTGGATAGAAATTAGCCTCTCATTTTCATTATACTTCTTTCCCTGCTTCTGTGTAATTCTAATCTCAGGCAGGTTTTTTAACCTTTGGCCTTAGTTACTCATAAAGAGAATATTGACCATTCACCTGCCCAAAAGTAAGAAGTCCCATTTAATACCTTCAGACCCTTTGGTTCCTGGGATCCACATTTGTGGCCTTTCCTGTGCATCCTTTTTGCTTCCTTTTCCCCAAGCCCTGTCTGTAATGGCCTTGTGTGCTGTCTACTGTTTCTGAAGAGAAAAATAAAGCCAGCTCTCAATTCCCTGGACCCTGTTCTTAGGAAACCTAATATTGTCAACTGCCCATAATCTCTCAATAGTTGGATTATCTGCATCTGGTTGTTTTGCATAAGAGATACTGACTTCTTAATCACTAACAGTGATTGACGTAACTCCAGCTAACAATGCCAGTTTGGATGCAGTGGGGATTTGTAAGCAGATTGAGAAGTTTTCACCAAGTTATGTTTCTTTCTTTTGTTTTTCACAGGTCATGGTAACTCAGGATTTGAAGGGCAGAGTCGCTATGTGCCGTCCTCTGGAATGTCAGCCAAGGAGCTCTGTGAGAACGACGACTTAGCAACCAGTTTGGTTCTTGATCCCTATTTAGGTTTTCAAACACACAAAATGAATACTAGGTAATTTTAAGTCTTTTTCCTGCATAGAACCAGTAATGATGTCAAACTTAAGAAAACAGCTGCTGGTGGTGGTGCACACCTTTAATCCTAGCACTAGGGAGGCTGAGGCAAGTGGGTCTCAGTGAGTTCAAGGCCAGCCTGGTCTGCATAGTGAGTTCCCAGGACAGCTAGAACTCTGTTACACAGAGAAACCCTGTCTTAAAAAAAAAAAAAAAAAAAAAAAAAAGGAAGAAAGAAAACAAATGATGAATCTTGTATTTAGAATTCTAAATGATAATAGAAGTAAAGTTCTTTGATGTAGAACAGTTTTCTTTGAGCCAAGAGAAGCAAGCAGAACCTGGAAAGACGACCTCCTTTCCTTCATGCGCTGGTGGGTCAGTTCATTACCTGCATTTTCCATAAGTAAGGAGGAACCTGTTTAGAGTCTAAGATGCTCTGTCAGAAGCTACTGCAGCAGTCTTGGAATACCTCATCTGTGATATCGGAGTGTGGGGTCGTGTGTGTGTGGAAGAGAGAGATTCCCTTTCTGAGTGGTGCTAGGCATGCACCACCATGCCCAGCTGTGGTTCTGTGACATCTGAGGTCTTTGACTCTTACTCTAGTTAGATCATCTTAGAAGTTCTTTCTCTTTCTGCTTCTGTGGCAAAGGGTTTTGGATCCAGTGGAATTGGTGCCACTGGGGATTTAGAGATAAGTCACAGACTGGGCCTATTTCTTCTCATCTCCATCACACACAGAGGTTTCTTGTAGCCTGATGTCCATGACCATCCAGGAAGAATTGGAAAACCAGGTCAGTGAGCTCTAATTGTCAGGGGAGATAGGAACAAGAAGGAAGCCTTACATACCCTTTCCCCTTTGAGATTTGTCCCTTCTAGAAGTAAAAATGGGACATAGTTTTTTCTCACTTATCAGCTCTGTTGTATGCCTAGAAAGAATGACAGCACAAAGGTGTCTTTGGAATTCCATGGTTCCTGCCACATGAGTCACTCACTGAACGGAAATGAAACATGCAAAACTGCACCCTTGTGCCAACCTACAACCTCACTTACACTGCTTTGAGTCCAGGTCCTTTTCTACTCAGTGAGCTTGTCTTATTATGCTGGGAAATGATCCTCATAGGATTTCAGTCACCCTCTAGTTGTATCCCTGGCTCTCTTGTGTTTTTTAAATAAGTAGATTATTAAGTTGTCTCATGTTGGTAACTTCTTGTATGTTGAGATGCAAAGGCATATGAAACATTTCAGAAAGTTATTCCATTAAAAGCACAACAAAAGTTTTAGTGGGTTATGGAAGAATGTCTATTCTGAACCCCAGGCTCTGTTCCAGAGGATGAAGGGGTATACCTGCCATTGGCTCCCCACTAGGAAGTGTTGTGATTTCTTTCTGAGCCACTGGTGTTTCTCAGCCCATAGACGGAAACTGGGATTCTGTATTTCTAACAAGCTTCTGATCTGTATTTAGAGTATTTTAGTCTTAACCCGGGTTTCCTGATCTGTATTTAGAGTATTTTAGTCTTAACCCAGGTTTCCTGATACTCACTTAAAACCATGTGGTCACAAAGCAAATAGAGTCTAGAGGGCTAAGGGTGGGACTCACTGGAGCACTCACCTGTCATGAGAAAAGTGAACAGAGAAAAAAAGAATCTCAGAATTGTCACATTTATTAAGGAGGACTCCTGAGTTAACTGTGTTCTGTTCCCATAGAAGCTGGAGCACCTAAGTGTTTCTCAGTGCAGCATTTAAGTCCACTCAGCTGAACCAATGTGGGGGAATGGACAGGGCTTCTCTGTCCCCAACAGCATGGCCCCAAGGCTCTTCAGGGGTCCTGGTACCGTTGACAGCTTCCTCACACAGGAGTTTCAGCAGCTCCTCCTAAGCTTGTTGAGAAATGCAGTTTCTTCTCTCTTTGTCTCTCTTCCTCTGCTTGCTTCTGGTTCTGGGGATGGCCTCAAACCTTCTAAGCAAGACTACCACTGGCCTATAATCTCAGCTCTATTCTCATCTACCATTTACCTCCTCTCTTCATCTTTCAGTGTGCTTTCAGGAATGTGTTTTAAAGAAATAGTAGTTTTATGATTTGAGAATTTACAAAGCCAGCTCTGTTTTGAATGCTTATGCTCTGACTTTTTATTTATTGATTTTTGGTTTTGAGGCAGGGTCTTGCTGTGTAGCCAAGATTGGCCTTCACATTTACAGTTCTTCTGCCTTGGCCTCCTGAGTGCTGTGTTAAAGGCGTGCGATACCATGCTTGGCTCAAGTGCTGATGTTTCAATCTGAGTGTCCCAGCAGAGCTATATCATGAGAGCATAGTAAACATAAAACACAAATTTCTATTTGCTGAGATTTTTTGAGTTGCTTCTTGTCAACTATGAAACTTACATTTTCTTTGTTGCAATAGACAAGGGCAAGAGAGATGGGTTAGTGGTTAAGAGCACTGGCTGCCCTTCCAGAGGACCCAAGCTCAATTCCCAACACCCAAATGACAGCTCACAACTGTCTGCAATTCCAGATCCATGGTACCTGACATCCATGGCAAAACACCAATGCACATAAATTAAAAGGGAATTGGGGTTAGACAGTGGTGGCACATGCCTTTAATCCCAGCAGAGCCAGGCGATCTGAGTTCAAGGCCAGCCTGGTCTACAGAGTGAGTTCATAGACAGCTGGGACTACATAGAGAAACCCTGTCTCAGGTAGGGGTAGGTGGTTAAGAGCAGGTATAGGTAAAAGAATTGATGTTTGTGAAGCAAGAATTATTGTCTGGAATTTTTACTTTGAAACTTTTCCTGATTTTTTTTTGTCAAGTTAAAGTTGCGTAAAGTCTTAGCCTTCCATCATTATAGCTGTGTAATAATTATTCTGCCATGTGTTTTCCTTATGCATATCCTCTCCTGGATGTGCATTTATAAATTATATATCGTTTTAGAATTTGATGCTTAGAATATATATAAATTTTTTTTGTGAATCAGTGGTAAAGGGGAGAAAAGATTTTAACAACCTGGCATTGCTATGTGTGGAATATCCTTGTGGATTCATAAAATTGTAAATATTGGTGTTTTAGAGATTTGTGCTACTGTGAGTGTTTAGAGACAATGAATACAGATTATACAAATGGTCTTTACTGTTGTTTGTTTTGCATTTGTATAGCGCTTTTCCTTCAAGGAGCTCAAGACATATTTCAAAAGCTGACGGGTTTTCTCACAGCAACCCTGCAAGGTAGGTAGCTCATGTTTCAGATGCAAGGCACCAGCCCATGGTTCTGTCCTTAGTAATGTGCCTTAATGCTAAGCCATTGGCCATGTCATTGAAATAGAACGTCTTTTTAATGATTTATTTTTGTTTTATGTGCATTGGTGTTTTACCTGTATGTGTGTCTGCCTGAGGGTGTCGGATCCTCTGGAACTGAAGTTACAGACAGTTAAAGGCTGCCATGTAGGTGCTGGGAATTGAACCCTGGTCCTCTGGAAGAACAGCCAGTGCTCTTAACACTGAGCTGTCTCACCAGCCCCCCAAATAGGACTTTTAAAACATTTAGTAAACCTTCTAAATAGTATAATTTTGCTTGGAGGCAGAGCCAGGATCTCTGTGAGTTTGAGGCCAGCCTGGTCTACATAGCAAGTTCCATGCTAGTCAAGGTTACATGGTAACACCTTGCCTTCCTTGAGAGAGAGAGAATAGAAGGGGAAAGAAAGTCTAGTCATAGCTATTAGTAATTTAAGCAAATTAAAAACAAACAAACATTGGTGGGCACCTTTAATCCCATCACTCAAGAGGCAGGGGCAGGCAGATCTCTGAGTTCAAGGCCAGCCTGGTCTACAGAGTCAGATCAGCCAGGGCTACACAGAGAAACCCTGTCTCAGAAAATCACTAAAACAAAGACTCCTACTCCAGGAAGAGCAACAAAGGGTCTGAAGTACTGGTCCATCTCTCCAATCCCATTAGGGAGAGCTTTTTAGCAATGCAAATTATTATAATTATGAAGGTGTTGAGACATGGGGTCTCACTGTGTAGCCCCTGGCTGATCTGGAACTTATTATGTAGGCAGACGGAACCTAGCCAGCTGGCCAGGGCTGGTGAAGTCACGGATCTTAGTGGAGAACCCACCACTGTCACTTGACTAAAGCAGCACAGTCCCCAACCACATTCTAAATATGTGTCCTTATGCCACAGATAAGGGTCGTCCCTGTCTTTGAAACAGACGGCGTCCATTACAGAAAACCACAGCCAATCAAAATGTAGACTAATGCATCTAAAACACAGCTCCTGCACCTGAGGCTCAAGGGTCACTGTGGAAGAGGGGCGGGAAGACTGTAAGAGCCAGATCAGAAAGTCTGCCGTGAGATTGTATCTTCTAGGAAAGTTAGAGAGGCACTTGATTGGCAGAGGCAGGGGCATCTCTGAGTTTGAGGCCAGCCTGGTCTACACAGTACATCTACATAATGAAGAAAAAAAACTTATAGCAACAACAAAAAAAAACCCCAGCTTATAACAAGAATTCTCTTGCTTCTAAGAAGGTCCTCAGTGACTTTTGCTCTGGCTTTTAATAATTGTTAACAGTTTTGTGTGATTGAATAATTTTTATCTCACACAGTATTGCTATAGCAGGATTTGACTTAAGCTGTTTGGTCAGGTGATGCTAGTATGTATCTGCAGGGCCACTGAATACTATCCTCCACCACCTCCCTTTCCTTGCCATCATTCATTCTTTCTTTTTCCAGACAGGGTTTCTCTGTGTAGCCCTGGCCTTCCTGGAACTCAGATATTTGCCTCCTCTGCTTCTGGAGTGCTGGGATTAAAGGTGTGCACCACCATGCCTGACTGATAAAAAGATTCTTGTTTAGTGGGTAGCAAGGGATAATTTTGTGATTTTGTTTGAGGCAATACAAATCAGAAAATGAGAAACAGAGGTCATCTCAGGAGAGGCAGACCCCAGCAAGAATATTACAAATAGAGTTATTTTGTGTTGATTTTAGCTCCTAGGTAGTTTGACATTGTGAACAATGAAAACTAGGGTGCTTGGAAGATATTTGAGATAGGAATGAACATGTATCAGAAAGCAAAGGACACACAAATCCTTTTAAAATTGCCTACCTCAGGCAAGTGAGATGGCTTGAAAGATAGGTAAGGCAATTGCAAGCCTTATAGCCTAAATTATTCCTATGACTCACATAATGAAAAGAGAAAGTCATCCTCTGACCTCATTACACATATGAACACACACATGAGTACATGCATACACAAACTCATTCGCTCTCATTTTTCTGTATTTTTGGATGAGTTTAGCCTTTTCTGTGATGCTGAGGACCTTACGCATTAGGCATATGTTCTACTCTGGCTCACATCCCCATGCTACATCATATCATTCTAAACAGAGTCACCATTGGTCACTTCTACATTAGACACAGGAGGACAACTATCTCTTCCTGTTGTCGGAAGTTCTGCCACTTCACTTCATGGATGGCTTATTGGAGTTATTCAGTCAGGAATGTTGCTTTTCTGATCACTGAACACAGTGTTATCTGTTTCCCACATTTCTTCATTTGTACTGTTGGAAATATGAAGCCGTGACCAACATTTCTGTTTGGCATATCTGTGCTGTTGTGCTGATGTTGGATGATTTTTTTAGACTGTACTAAATTGAACTGGGCTTTGTGCATTTAAATGGGAGATCTACCACTGCTTATCTGTTGTTCATACACTTATTACCTTGTAATGTAGGGTTGCAGCAAGAATGGTTTAAATCTAATTTTAATCCATTGTGATGGCTACAGATAAGTAGTTTGAAATGATTTGGTGCTTCCCCAATCCTGCATATCTTTAGAATATCTGAATGGTGGCCCTCCACCTCAACTCAGAACTGAAAATTGTTCTGAATTCTTTAGAAGACCCAAATTCATTAGTCTATGAGAATACATATACTGCCCAAATAGCAGTAAAACATTTCCTCTCGTATCTCGGGTGCATGTGAGTTTGAATTCTCAGATAGCTCCAGAACTATTAAAACTGAAGTATATAAACTGCTCAGTGATGGTGCACACCTTTAATCCCAGCACTCAGGAGGCAGAGGCAGGTGAATCACTGAGTTTGAGGTCAGCCTGGTCTATAATGTGAGTTCTAGAATAGCCTGGGCTATACAGACAAGCTCTGTCTCAGAAAAACCAAAGAAAGGGGGCTGGAGAGATTGCTCAGTGGTTAAGAGCATTGCCTGCTCTTCCAAAGGTCCTGAGTTCAATTCCTGGCAACCACATGGTGGCTCACAACCACCTGTAAAGAGGTCTGGTGCCCTCTTCTGGCCTGCAGACATACACACAGACAGAATATTGTATACATAAAAAATAAATAAATATTTTTTTAAAAAAAGAAAAACCAAAGAAAGAAAAACAAATAAGCCTTAATGAAATTTTGTTAATGGATGCTATCTGTGGTAGTGCATACCTATAATCCCAGCACTTGGGAGGTAGAGGCAAGAAAACTTAGCATTCAAAGCCATCCTTCTCTCCATTGGGAGATCAAGAGCACAGCCAGCCAGGGTTACATGAGATCCAGTCTCAAGAGAAAGTTAATGCTTTGTAGTAGCTTATTTTGAAGAACGTTATGACGTGTGCTGAACTTGGAGATCTTATCTCATTGTTTTCAGACTCTAAGGTCAGCACTTGAAGATTGATAAGTGCATAGTTCAAATACTTTTTCTCTTGAGCCACTGATATTTTTTCCATGGGCTTTATTTGAACAGCAGTCTCTAATTCTGTTGGGAGCTTTGTTTATTTATTGTTTTTTAACATAAAACTCTATTTGAGAAAAGTAATCAGATGAAACTGACTTGCAGAGAAATTTTTGTTTTATTGCCTTTTTTTTGCATGTGTTCTCAAGGTGATTTGTTCTCTACTCAGTGATATCATAGTTAAAATGATGAGCAGCAGTGCTCTCCGCTGTTGAAATGATATTTTTTTTAATATTTATTTATTATGTATACAATATTCTGTCTGTGTGTATGTCTGCAGGCCAGAAGAGGGCACCAGACCTCATCACAGATGGTTGTGAGCCACCATGTGGTTGCTGGGAATTGAACTCAGGACCTTTGGAAGAGCAGGCAATGCTCTTAACCACTGAGCCATCTCTCCAGCCCTTGAAATGATATTTTTATACTGTGCTGAGTATTTGACCAACACTTTTTTACATTGAAAAGTTTCTTGAAGGTTCTTCATAATTGCATTATAGAAGAAATTATGTCATAAGTAGTCAATTGACATCCAGTGGAAGCATTCATATGTTGCTTAATTTCCCGACAAACCCCATGATGAAAAGACTTAAAAATGAACTTGGAAAACACTGAAATTAGATTATCGGGTTCTGTTAAATTGTAACGTATGTCTTGATTAATTTCTGTTTATTAATTTATATCCACCAATTATAAAATAAATTTGGAGGAAACAGAAAAAAACATTCTGCCATTAACAGTTTCATCCCCAAGTTATGCTTTTGGAACTTCCCTGTTCTCTGGATGAAGTCCTACACCAGTAGGAGTGATTGGAAAATCAGGGTATATTTAAAGATCCTATTTGGACCATGTTGGGGTTTTCTGCTGTGCACACAGCCATTTTGTTATAGCTTGGTTTTGTTTGTGTCATTGTACCTCTGCACTCATTGCCTTGCACTCCTATGTAAGTCCACCTAAAATTCCTGCCCTCTGGCCTCCACTGGAATTGTTCTATTGTCTTTGACTTTGTGCTGTCCAAAGTAGGTGACTAGTGGAAGTAGGAGACTTGCAGCTTTTGAGTCGTCTCATTTCACAGTTAATTAGCAGCTAAACAAAAATATCAAAATATTGTTTGAAAAGAAAAAAAAGGAAATTAGGCCTTGGAGAGGTAGCTCATTGAATAAAACATGTGGCATATGAGTTGAGGACTGGTGTTCTGATTCCCAGAACCCTCATAAAAAGCCAGGGAGATGTGGCAGCTTGCCTCTAATCCCAATACTTAAGAGGTGGAGTCAGGGCATTCCCTGGGACAAGTGGCTAGCTTCACTAGCTGAATCAGCAATCTCTTAAGTTCAGCCAGAGACCCTGTTTGAATACATAAAATGGAGAGTGATGGAGGAAGGTACCCAGTATCAACCTCTGGTCTTCACATGCACATTTATATGCATCTACACATGCAAACATGCATGTGTACTACATGCATGCAGAAGAAAAGAAAAAAGGAAGATCTTAGGTGATTTTTGTAGTAATTGATGATTTAACCATCAAGATTATTGTTTTTTTCTTTAATCTTTGATGTACTAACCATGCTGACTATAGGATACCAGTTCCTTGAGATCTCTTCAGTTGGATACATAGCTCAAGAATTGTGATGGAGAGCTGGAGGTGATGGCTCAATGGTTGAAAGCACTGCTTACTCTTGCAGAGGACCCAGGTTCAGTTCCTAGCATACTTTACAACTATCTGTACCTTCATTCTAGGGAATCTGACTTCTCTTGTGGATATACATGTGGTGCACATATATACATGCAGGCCAAACACATAATACACATAATTTTAAAATTTTTTAAAAGAATTGTGATAGATAATTAAACTTGCTATCTTGATTTCTTTCAGATTTCGGCCTATTAAGGGAAGGCAAGAAGAGCTAAAGGAAGTAATTGAACGCTTTAAGAAAGATGAACACTTAGAGAAAGCCTTCAAATGTTTGACTTCAGGTGAATGGGCACGGCATTATTTTCTCAACAAAAACAAAATGCAGGAGAAATTATTCAAGGAACATGTAAGTTAAGTGTATTAATGCTGCTAACCTATGTCCAGATGAGTAGAAACTAGTAGTTGAAGCAGGAAGGTTGTCACAAATTTGGGGCCAGCCTGGACTATAGAGTGAATTTGGATCAGCTAGACTACAACGTTGAGGCTCTATCTCAAAACAAATCAAACAAAACAAAACCCATAGGCTTACAAGTAAACTGAAGCCTGACTATTCATGAGCACTGAGAATTTAAGTCTAATAGTGATTGATGGTGGTGGTTTACAGAGCCTCAGGTCGAACCCAGGGCCTTGCACATGCTGGACAAGTGCTCTGCCACTGGACTAGTACCAGCTCCTTGAGTTAGTTTTCATCAAAGCACTGAATGTAAAGAACTGTAGTGCGGAAGGTGACGTGGCTGATAATCCAAGAAAAAAATCTTCATTTAGGAGTGCAGTCCATTCTGAGCTTCTAGAGAGCAGAGCCATGCCATTGGGTGCTCACAGAAGTAAATGTTGAGACTGAAACTAATTTTTTCTTTATTACCCGATAGTTTACGTTGTTGTCAGTGATATGCTTTTATAATTCTGAGAAAGTCTAGCAGAATAGATAATTGTTATCACATTTTTCCCTGCTTTAGGTCTTTATTTACTTGCGGATGTTTGCGACTGACAGTGGATTTGAAATATTGCCTTGTAATAGATACTCTTCAGAACAAAATGGAGCCAAGATAGTTGCAACAAAAGAGTGGTAATTATTAAACTAGTCAAAACTCAGTGTACTTCTGTTTAAAGATTTCTGACATTGTCCTTGAAGTACGTAAGAAGTCATGGTCAGCCAGAGCCAGTGCTTCCTTGAGGGACAGTGCAGTGCTCTGACCTGCTGGTTTAGGGGTGGTGAACTCATAACTCTAGGTGACCTGGTTGCATCTCTAGGCCACAGTGTGTTGAGTCTAAATGACTACTCCGTATTGGACTGCTGAAAGGTGGAGGGTGCAAGGTCAGTTACCTGGCTTCCAGGGTCAGGCTGAAAAGTTGGGGATGAAGTCTTAGCAACTTGAGGTCAGTTTACAGACAGAGACACTTGAAAACGTTAACCTGCTTAAAAACATGCATGCATACCAGATTAAATAGAAATAGTAAAGACCATTTTTAATCCCAGCACTCAGGAGACAAAGGCAAGCATATCTTGTGAGTTCAAGGCCAGTCTGGTCTGCATAACAACGAGTTCCCAGCCAGCCAAGATATACAATGAGACTGCCTCTAAATAAAGTCAAACCTCAGTAAGAGGCTTACAAGCCATAGAGGAGAAAGAAAGAGGAGAGAGAATGTGTAGCTTTCTTTCCTATTAATAATGCCTGTTCCCTTACTATGGTAGTATGTCCCAGGAAAAGAAAGTAGTCCCTGTGACCCTTAATGTCCTGGAGAAACAGGGATTCCCTCTGACCCTTACCTTATGTCCCAGAAGAAACAGGCAGTCCCTCTGACCCTTACCATATATCTTAGGAGAAACAGGCAGTCCCTCTGAAAGGTTTTGGTGGGTTTTTTTTAGGGGGGGGGGGGCTTGTTTTGTTTTTGTTTTTTTTTTAATGGTTTTTCAAGCCAGGATTGTTTTCTCTGTGTAGTCCTGGCTGTCCTGAAACTTGCTCTGTAGACCAGGCAGACCTTGAACTCACAGACATCCATCCATCTACCTCTGCCTCCCAAGTGCTGGAATTACAGGCGTGTACAACCACCATCCAGCTCTGACAGTTCTTTAGAATTTCAATAGCAAAAATTTGAGAGGTCAGGTAACCAAAAATAGAATGTACAAAAGAACATTATTCCCAAGTAAGCCCCTGGGGTGTATTTGAAGGTACTCTGCCTTAGATTGTGATTGAGGTGCTGACCAGCTCTGGTGGCTCATGTGTTGCAGATGGCAGGCTTGAGATCTCATTTTGCAATAAAGTAGCCACTGGCCTCCTAGAGTCCTGGAAATGTAGTCTGTCTCCAGAACTCACATTGTGTTCTCTTTTTCATTCGTAGTTCCCATAGTGACTGCCTGCTAAAATAGTATATGTTATACTATTGGATATGTGGACTTAAAATATGTTGAGAGGAATTTCACCTCTTTTTCCTTGACGTGGCCACTAGGAAACTTAAGCTGGTAATTTGTGCTTGCAGAAAATACTACTAGATGAAGACAAAGTTCTGGGCCCTCATATCCCACCACTGTGGGACCCATTTGCAAATATGTAATACTGTACAGTGAGTAGTTGGGCTTTGCCTCCTGTGAGATGCTGATCCAGGCACTGCAGGGTGTTGAGAGTCACAAAGGCACAGTACCTGGCCTGGAGGAATTTCCATTCTCTCATGGGGATAAGGCAGATAAGAAATGAGGCCATGGGGCTCCAGAGAGGAAGAGAGGGTCCTCAGGTACACTCCGTGTCCGTCAGCAGAGTATGTGGAGCCAGGGCTGATCAGTTTCTGCTATTTAGTGGGAAGGCTTAATTTATTAAAAGAAGCCTTATTATAATTACTAGTAATTTTTATCACATATTTTAAATAGGAAACGAAATGACAAAATAGAATTACTGGTGGGTTGTATTGCCGAACTTTCAGAAATTGAGGAGAACATGCTACTTAGACATGGAGAAAACGACTTCAGTGTCATGTATTCCACAAGGAAAAACTGTGCTCAACTCTGGCTCGGTCCTGCTGCATTTATAAATCATGGTAAGCTGCCTTTTGAGGCGTCTATGCTGTGTGGGCTGGCTGCCCACGGCTAGCGTGGCCTGGCCATACTCAGGGGAGTTTGGAATGGCCGTTGTCTTCAGATTTATTAAATATGCCCAGTGTAACTTGAGACCTAAACTGATGGAAATTGTGAAGTTGTCTGGAAAGCCTTTTCAGATTCTGTAACTTCGTGTTTCAGATCTTATCAGCAGTTAATTGACTTTCTCTTTTGGACATTTTTCAGATTGCAGACCTAACTGTAAGGTAAGCATAAAAGAAAACCAAATACCTCAGAGATTCTATGTCTGCCTTGGGTGTGAGACTCTTAACAGGTTACTTCTATTTCAGTTTGTGTCAACTGGCCGAGATACAGCATGTGTGAAGGCTCTGAGAGATATTGAACCTGGAGAAGAAATTTCTTGTTACTATGGAGATGGGTTTTTTGGAGAAAATAATGAGTTCTGCGAATGCTACACTTGTGAAAGGTAAAGGATCTTGAACTTTTCCCCACTTGAACTTCATGACTGTCATGATGTTATGGTGCTGACCCTGCCCGACCATCCACATCATGTGAGCGTAGAGCTAGCACATGTGCTCTGTAGCACAGCACCCTGCAGTGTGAGAAGCAGAAGCACATGTGATGCAGCTGTTACTAGTGGGTCACCATGCAGAAGTGCTCAGGAGAACAGTAAGTGTGGAAAAAGACAGTGGTGAGTATAGTTAAAGTTTCTATATAAGTTGTACGTACATCATTAGAGAAATTTTGGAAGATAAAATCTGATGATAGACCCTCAAAATAAGATCTGAGTAAGTCAGGCAGTGGTAGTACATGCCCTTAGTCCTAGCACTCAGGAGGCAGAGGCAGGCGGATCTCTGTGAGTTTGAGGGCAGCCTGGTCTACAGAGTGAGTTCAGGATAGTCAAGGCTACACAAATGGAACCCTGTCTCCAAAACCAAAAATCTGAGTAAAAAGAATTGTGATGTTAAGCTGTTATGGTATAGGTACCGTTCTTTTCATGATAAATTGTGTGAGGCATTATATTTGGAATTGACCAAAACTATTTTAAAGGTTATAAAATAGTATATATAGTGACAACCAAGTCAAAAAAAATCTAAAGAACATTAGGGGAAGCCAGGCATAGTAGCTTATGCCTATAATCTCAGTACTTTGGAGACTGAGGCAGATGCATTAGAAAAAAATTCAAGGTAAGCCTAGGTTACATAGCAAGCTGTCTTCCAAAAACGAACATGAAAGAAACCTAGTCCCCAGCACCAAACAACAATCAAAAAAGGTTAGGGGAGCAGTTGATACAGGGCTGTGTAGAGCACAGGAAACACTGGAAAGATCCCAGAGTTGTATTAGGGGTTGGTGTGGTGGCACATGCCTGTAATCCCAGCACTCAGAAGGTGAGGCAGGAAGATCTTAAGTTCTGGTCATTCTTGGTTCATAGACCATATGAGACCCTATTTTTTTAATTAAAAAAAAAAGCTAGGTAGATAGTAAAGATTATTTTTTATAAAGCGAGTGATCAAACGATTTATTACTTAGGAATAGACAATAGCCAACAGAGTTCTAAAACAAGCAAGTGTGTATGGCATCTTAGTGCACATGGGAAGAGAGTGCTGCTTGTCCTCCTGGAGAGAGTAAGTTAAACTCCAAAATAAAGTTTAAAAACAATATAAAATGATTAGGAAAATGCCTTCCTAGGAGCTTAAGAGACGGCTCAATGGGGGCTGGAGAGATGGCTCAGCGGTTAAGAGCATTGCCTGCTCTTCCAAAGGTCCTGAGTTCAATTCCCGGCCACTACATGGTGGCTGACAACCATCTGTAATGATGTCTGGTGCCCTCTTCTGGCCTGCAGGCATACATGCAGACAGAATATTGTATACATAATAAGTAAATAAATAAATTTAAAAAGAGAGAGAGACGGCTCAAAATTCAAGAGCATGTATTATTCTTCAGAGAACCCAAGTTTAGTTCCTAACACCCATGTAGGGCTGTTCCTGCTACTACAGGGGAACTGCCTCCTCCTTTGTCCTCCGAGGGTGTGTGCATTCATATGTATGCACATAATTAAAAAGAAAATAAATCTTTACCAAAAAATTATCTGAGCTAAGCATGGTGACACACACTTTTAATCCTAATACCCAGAAGGCAGAGGCAGGCAGATCTCATGTGCATTAGAGGCCAGCCTGGCCTACATAGACAGATCTTGTCTCAAAAAAGAAAAAAAAAACAAAAAAACAGTTTCTATCTAACTTTAGGGTTTTGAAGATCTTGATAACATTAGTAAATCAAAAAAATGCTTGAATGACCAGATTCTAGTCAAAGAGATACCTGACCAACTGAGTGCGTACTGCTCTTTCCAAAGGACCCAAGTTCCAGTACCAGCCCCTGTGTCAGGCAGCACAACCCTCAGTAACTCCAGCTCCAGAGGATCTGTTGCCACTTCTGGCCTCTCTAGGCATCTGTGTGAGCATATATGTGAGCGTGAGCACTTGCATGTGCATACACACATTAGTTACCACAGAACATTGAAAACGCTCATGCATGTTCTATGGAAGTGTGAGCTTTCAAAACATGTTCATTGCAGGCTTACACAGAAACACATATGATACAAGAAAATTAAAGTGCTGGGTAAAATGGTAGTGTGGTATCTTAGTTTTGCTTGAAAAGAAATATAAATGAAGAATTGGCTACATAGTATATCTACAGATACAGGTCCACAGGCAGCTAATGAATGATTGAGACATTCATTGTAAGTATAGTTTTAAAAGTGGTTTTGGCCTGCTGGAGTGATGGTTCAATAGTTAAGACCACTGACAACTCTTCCAGAAACACACATGGCAGCTCACAACTGTCTATAACTCCAGTTCAAGGGGACCTGAAACCCATGATGAAATACTAATGCACATAAAATAAAATTAAAAAAAAATTTAAAGTGTTTGTGGTAGATACATGCTAGATCTCCCTGAGAACTCTAGAGCTGGTAGTTGTCTTGTGGTTGAGGTCTCAGCAGTTCATCTCAGCCCTAGACCTGATGTGCCCAAGTACCCTCAGCAGCCAAGCTTGTTTTAAGTAGTCTGCTCCATTTATTTGACCTTTGCTGTTTTCTCTTTCAGACGGGGAACTGGTGCTTTTAAATCCAGAGTAGGACTGCCTGCGCCTGCTCCTGTTATCAATAGCAAATACGGACTCAGAGAAACAGATAAACGCTTAAATAGGCTTAAAAAGTTAGGGGACAGCAGCAAAAATTCAGACAGTCAGTCTGTCAGCTCTAACACTGACGCAGACACCACTCAGGAAAAAGACAATGCAAGTAAGTAAGGGAGCTTTACCATAAGGTGCTGGTTACAGTCTTCATTGCTCACAAAGCATGCTTCAGTAGTTTTGAAGCTCTAAATACTGATAGAACTGGGACTTGAGGCTTCAGCTGCACTGCAAATAATAGAAATGCTTTGAGTCCATAGCAGTTTGTGTCCACTCCACATTCAGGGCCAACCTCTATATGTATTTTTGAATACTTGGTATTGAGTGTTGAAGTATTCAACATATGTTCCAGAACCATCATCTTTGAGGAACACATTTTCAACTCATCAGTGATGGTAAAATGGTGTGTTAGGCGCTGCAAGAGCTTGGCTAGTTATTCAGGCTGCTTATGTCCATCTCCAGCCAGTCTAGGAACAGGATGGACTCAGAGTTCATTATGCTTCAAGGCTTCTATCTTTTTACTACTTGCTTAGCTGTTTTTGAAGTGCATCAGCCTGGTTCACTATGCTCAGAAGGATGCCAGAGGAGTATTTTGATGTGGCTGTGCTGTGGGGTGTGTGATTACCACTGTAGGAAGTAGCAAGCCAGATGAAAATGAAAAGGAAGCAAGCTGTGAGCTGCCAGTTCTATGTTAGTGGAATTTCTCATAGAAACTGGGGTGGTAGTGAATAACAGAAAAAAGAAAAGAAAAGAAACGCTCCATAGACCAAAGACAGCACAGCAATTGTGGAGCTTGAAGTGTGGGACATCTGTGGCTGCTGTCCTTCATCTGGGTAACACTAGTGTTCTCTAGATGCCTCTACAACAGCATGTTCTCCTTCTGACGTGTCTCAACCAGAGTCGTCTGTGAGAAAGGTTTGCCTTGGTTGCCCAGAGTGCCTATTTCAGGACTCTAGTGTCCAGTGACTCTGAGCACGTAAGAGCCCCCTCAGGCACTGGGTGTTCCAGGATCTTCTCCATGCCTTCAGATGTTTTCAGTCCACACACGGGTACTACCTTCCCTTACAGAAAATTTTGAAGAAAGGGGACGGTGTCTCTATGATGGCAAGTGCCACTGTGTGGATATCTGAATCTTCTTGCTACTTGAAGTCCAAAGCCAGGCGTAGCCTCTAGTATAAAAGCAATAGTGTAGCTCAAATTCACACTTCTTAGCTGAGCCCAAAGTGAACAAAGAGGAGGTGTTAGTCTCTCATTCACTGTTGACTGTTGGTTCTATTAATAAAGGCAGTGTAATGAACTTTGTTTTCTTGAGTCTGGTTCCTTGAAGACACTGGAGGCTTGTGAAGCCCATTTCATAAATACTTACATGGAAACACTGAGGTGTATGCTGCCTTCCAGACAGCCACAAAGCTGCTCTCAGAGAATGGCTCTGATGAAGTGAGAGAGTTCCTGTGTTTTTGTGTATGAACTTGATCACTAGAATATACATTTTAAACTCAGCACACCATTTAGCTTAAATACGTAAGCTTTAAGTACTTAAATACAAATAGTTTCTGAAGGGGTTGTGTGTGCTGATATGTTACAACATGAGAAATATTTATTACTCAACCCAGTAGTTTTTGGAGAAGTACCAAGATGTGGGTGGTTCTGGACCCTCCTGGAGAGCTTATGCCTCCTCTCCAAGACAAGTGCAAAGTCACAGCTTTTTCTCAAGGGCAGAAAGACTGCATAGCACCTTTGAGCTGTAGTCTCAGCACTTTAGAATAGAAAGCTCACCCTTGCTAGTGGCTGCCTATGTTAGGTGATTGATTTGCAGCGTGAGTGGTAGAGTAAGCCAAAGCTGTCAGTGATCTGGAAGCATGGCACAGGGGTCAGAGGGAACAAGGCCTGGGTATTCTCTTTCCCACTCTCATGTCTGTCCATAAAGATGGTCCTACAGTGCTTAGGATTTTGATGACATCTAGAAGTATATGGGTCAGCCACATAGTGTGTCCCTTCACCCTCTACAACTATTGTGCATCAGATCATGTTCACATAAGTACTTCTCTATTTCTTACATACATTTTAACCGTTTCTTTTACTTTTTACTTTGTTTTGCCTGGAGAGTGGAGGCATGACCCATGGGTCACATGTGTGGAGGTTAGAGAATAAGTCAGTACTGTCCTTCTACTGTGTTGGTCCCAGTAATGGAGCTCAGGTTATCAGTTATCAGGCTTTGCCTGCACATGTGTGTACCTATTACATGTTGTTTTTTAAAAGACATGGTCTTACTAGATAGTCCAAACCATACACTCAAGTACTCCTGCCTCTCACCGTCTACGTGTTAGGGTTTAGAGATGCTGGTCCTCGCTCGCCTTTTTACACGTTTCCTTCAAGTCTGTGTTTGTGCTTATGCTTCATCTTGACCCTGTAACAAAGGGAGTGAAATAAAAACAGGCTGAGAAAAGCTAGTGAGCATCAGAACTTCCTCCTAGGCCTTCAGGCATACCTAGTGTGTAGCCAGGGACTGCTTTTGCCCTCCCTGCTTCTCTTTCCCCTGCCTTACCTAGCAATTTGGCAACATTGCTACCTAGGCATGAGGAAAACATTCTTGCTTGACACAAGGCTGAGATATGATGTCCTAAGAGCTTCAGCTTGGCTTTCTGCTTTAGCACCCAGGAGTGGAGGCAGCAAGAAATCCCATATCCAAAGTGAGTCTTCCAGTCTAAGCTCCAGTACCCTTTGGAGGATCCTGGATTTCCAGGCCTTGGTGACTCTGATAATGAATGATAAGCTGTGTGAAACACGAATACTCAAGCAGCACCCGAAGCTGTAGACAGTCACTGCCCAGGGCCCAGCAGACCAGCCAGTAGGGTGCGTTTGTGTGGGCTGAAGGAGCACCTGGCTGGCATGAAGGCAGCGCTGCCCCTTCTCTGTGACAGTGCTACCTCTAGTTGATGTGTACCGCTGCCAGGCCTGCCTTTCCATTCAGTCACTCACATCAGGCAAAGGGACTTGTGCCTGGAAAATAGGAGACTTTCAAGTGCTGCTGAGGGTTTTCTGTTTCCTAACTGAGACATGGCCCTTGTGACAACTTGACTCGCATGCACTGACAGTCTAGCTTGAGAGCTCAGGAGAGCACTGGTGTTCTTCTGTCATGTTTCTTCATGGTGCACACTAAGTGTCATACTTAGGGTTTAAATGACACCTTGGAGCCACCACAGTCAGTGGCCATACAATGTCTCCTGAGTTTGGACTGAAGCCATATTACAGTCAACATAATGGTGATCTGAAACTCAGGGTCTGGGGCCAGAACCAAGCCCAGGTCCCACTTCTTAGCAGATGGAGTTTTGGGACCTACCAGACCATGAGAGCTTGGTTCCTTCATAGGTGTGGTAAGAGCCCCTTTAGGTCTTCATATGACTTGTGCACAGTGTCTGGCATGTAGCAGGAGGAATGTACACCCCACCAAAGTTACCATCCGTGATATACACTTGGAGTTTATTGATCAAAAGAGAGTGGCTGGGCTGGAGAGATGGCTCAGAGGTTAAGAGCATTGCCTGCTCTTCCAAAGGTCCTGAGTTCAATCCCCAGCAACCACATGGTGGCTCACAACCATCTGTAATGAGGTCTGGTGCCCTCTTCTGGCCTGCAGACATATACACAGACAGAATATTGTATACATAATAAATAAATATATTAAAAAAAAAGAGAGAGTGGCTGCACCAAGGGCACGTCTGCCCTCAGTCTCAATACACTAAATTTGTCATTGTGGCTACCAGCTTCTTCCTCTAGCCTTACCATCACTGAATCTCCACCCCCCCCACTCACATACACACATGTGTCTGTATAGTGATTGGCCCCTGGCATTCTAGGAGAGTCTCGGGTACATTTCTCTGCTCATTTTTCTCTGGGAGCTTACCTTTTCACTGGGCTTTGGATGAGATGGTACTTTTCAAACAAATTGTGACAGACACATAAGGGCGTACCTACCAAAGTAATGTACCATCTAAGTGCAATCCATTTTGTGCTGGTTCAGGTCACAAACACAAGGACCCCTCTGTCAATGTTGCCCCTGCTATCAGCAGGGACCCTAAGGAAGGAGGAGGGGCTGACTCAGAATCACCTTAAAATGGAATTCAGCTAATGAATTAAATTTATTTCAGAGAGAGAAAGGGCTTTGGATGCCAAGAGTGCAGTCAGAAGATGCTCCCTAAATGATGAGCTGGCCAGGTGAAGCATGTCCACAGCGGAGGGACTCACATGCACATGCCCACAAGTTGAGGGCTTTAGTCAGAAAGCCTGTGGCTTCTGCAGATGGAGAGGATAAAGGATATGACTTAGCTGAAGATTTCAGGCTTTATTCTCAAGGCATTGGGTAGTGAAAAGGTTATGTTCCACAGTAACATGGGATAGTAGCCTACACGTCATTCTGGCTTCGGAGGAACGAGGGACAGGCAAGTGCCATGCACAGTCCAGACAGGAGGTAGTGGCATGCTAAACAGAGGCAGATGGGATTCCAGTGACACTGCAGGGGTGGATGGTGCTGCAGGACTGGCAAGTAATTGTATGAGAACAGTTTAAGAAGAGTCAAGGGTGGCCAACTTCTTGCTTGAGTCGTGGGCTGATGGTAGGCATCAACAAGGGGAGAAGCTGTCAGAGCTCTAGGGGACAGTGCAAGCCTGTCAGCTCTGGAGCAACTGCAGTCAGTTGTTAGCACTCTGGATCTGTGGTTCAGAAGAAAGGAACTAGAGGCTTGGAAACTGCCAGAATCTAAATGGTGGTAACTGACCAGGTGATACCTGTCACCTGGAAAAATATTGTCAAGGGGCTTGAGCTGGCAGGTGTCTGAAGAATGGCAGTTGGGTGGCCAGAGTCAAAGGAAGACCAGGAGCATATGCTCTTAGACAGCCCAGAGATGAAGATGGTCCATAGAAATGAAAAAGAGGACTGGAAAGTGAACACTGGTTTTTGTGCCGTGGTCCATCACACAAAGGCTGTCCCACTGGAGGGACAGAATCTGGACTATAGAGGGGTTCTGACAAGAGCGTGTCATGGATCCTGTTATTGTGTGGGTTGATTTCATTTTTAGAGCAACAGAGGGATGGGAAGGGAAAATGAAAGGCTAGAGACTGCAAAGCCTGGTCATGGATAGTCCTGCAAGAACCCATGTTTGGGAGATGCAGTCTCGGCTTGTGCCTGGAAGCAGCCAGAACATTAACGTGTTTAGATGGCTTGTCAGAATCATCTATTTGCTAAGTATTCCCTAAATATCCCATCTTTTAACACACACACATACACTCATCCATATATGAAAGAAAGCATGCAAATGTGTGCAGTTGTAGGACTTTCTGGTCTATAAGTCACTTAGCCTTGAGTGGAATCCCATCCAGACTTCATTACACAACTCTAGAAATAAGTCGTATCCTTGGCAGCAACCCACACAGATATGTGGATGCTTGGTCCACTCAGCAGCTCTCGTCACTGGTAACTCTGTTGGTTTGGGTAGGGTATGTTGTAGCTGCTGGCAAGTCAGTCCCTGAAATAGATAACCTTCTACTCCTGGTGGTTTATAATTTCAGAATGCTTGTTACACATTCTTGTACCTTTTTGTTGGTAAAGAGTACTGCTAGCTCCTTGCTTTGCTGTATGAGGAAAAGGAACAGTCTGTCCCTACAAACCGTTATTGAATAGACCCCATGCTTCTGGCTTTACCCTGTTTTTTTGTGAGGGTGCTGATCCCTTGGTCACCACAACTTCTCCGCTGACTAGTTTTAATAAAGGAGGATTTGTTTGCTTTTTAACTGTGGAACTAAAAAGTCATTAAAACAACTGACTAATGTAAAATTTCGTGATCACCTGGGAGGTAGACGACTATGGCAGCATGACCTTGGACCACATCCTCCTGAGAGGTACTCAGTGGTCACCTTAGGTTGTACAGCTTTTCTGTTTCGGAAGGAGGAAGTTAGATCCATTGTCCTGAGTTGCTTGTTGCCATCAGGGCTCTGCAGCTCTTGAGCCTAATAGTCGCCGGCTGTAGCTTCTTATCCTTAGAGGTGAGGGGAGCAAACAGCTTGATACTGTGCTTCCTTACTGACGTATGAGTATTGGAGGAGACAACGTACGCTTCTTAGAATCTTTTCACCTTACACCTAGAGTCCAGTGGTTAGTGGAGCTCATCTCTCTGCTGCTATACTGGCTAAGTAACGTACTGTAGGTAGAGTTAAATGGTGACTAAGAGTTCAGGAGAGAAGTCGGGTATTGCATCACACACCTGTGGCCTCAGCACCTGAGAGACAGAGGCAGGAGGATTGCTGTGAGTTGGGCCAGCCTGGTCTACCAAGTTCTATCAAGCCAAGATATACAATTATGATATACACAGACACATACATTCGTATAGAAAATGAAGGCAGAAACCATGGTTTTCATTTACCTTCCTTTCAAATCTTTTATGCAAGAGAACTACCTAGTCTGGAGCAGTAAGCCCTGACATGTGAGAGATGCCAGGAAGCAGCAGCCCGGGCCCTGTTGTCTGGTGTCCTTGAACCACAACAGAGGCACTGTAGGGAATGAGTCTGCCTGAGGGCCACCTTGCATGCCTGTGTGTCCGCAGTTTGTAGCCACTGGATTGTTTTGGGGATTGTTTAACCATGTCATGTTGTAGTACCAAGCTTGTTTCATTTTTTTTTTAATGTTTTTATTTTTGTCTTGTAAACTTCCCAGCTTCTAACCGAAAGTCTTCAGTCGGTGTAAAAAGGAGCAGCAAGAGCAGAACACTGACCAGGCAGTCCATGCCAAGAGCCCCGCCCGCTTCCAACTCTACCTCACCTAAGCTAGCGCACAGGAACAACTCCAGGGTACCAAAGAAATTAGGAAAGCCGGCAAAGCCTTTACTTTCCAAGATCAAACTGAGGAATCACTGCAAGCGACTGGACCAGAAGAGCACATCACGGAAGCTCGAGATGGGGAACTTAGTGCTAAAGGAGCCCAAAGTTGTGCTATATAAGAATTTGCCAATTAAGAAAGAGAAGGAGCCAGAGGGACCAGCGCATGCTGCAGTGGGGAGTGGGTGCTTGACTAGGCATGCTGCAAGAGAACACAGGCAGAACCCTGGCAGAGGTGCTCACTCGCAGGGCGACAGTTTGCCCTGCACCTACACAACCCGGCGCTCATTGAGGACAAGGACAGGTCTGAAGGAGACCACTGACATCAAGCTTGAACCAAGTCCCTTGGATGGCTATAAAAATGGCATTCTGGAACCTTGCCCAGACAGTGGCCAGCAGGTGACCCCAGAGGTGCTGGAAGAACTGGCTCCTGAGACTGCACACAGGGAGGAAGCTTCCCAGGAGTGTCCCAAGAGTGAGCCATGCCCTTCAAGAAAGAAATTTCGACAAGGGAAACCCATGAAACACTTAGCCAAGGCAGAGGACTGCAGTCTGGAGCCCAGCTTCCCTGGGAAAGATGGGCTGCCAGATTTGTCAGGGCCCCATCCTGACCAGGGTGAGCCCAGTGGCACCACTGGGGTACCTGTAAGCTACACAGACTCTGCTCCCTCACCTGTTGGCTGTTCCGTTGTCACATCCGACAGCTTCACAACAAAAGACAGCTTCAGAACTGCACAAAGTAAAAAGAAGCGGCGGGTCACCCGGTACGATGCACAGCTGATACTGGAGAACAGCTCTGGGATCCCCAAGCTGACGCTTCGCAGGCGGCACGATAGCAGCAGCAAGACAAACGACCACGAGAGCGATGGTGTGAACGCCTCTAAAATCAGCATCAAGCTCAGTAAAGACCATGAAAGTGACAGCAACCTCTATGTCGCCAAGCTCAGTAATGGGGTTAGCTCGGGGCCAGGTGGCAGCTCTACCAAGCTCAAAATCCAGCTCAAGCGGGATGAGGAGAGCAGGGGGCCATATGCAGAGGGGCTTCATGAGAACGGAGTGTGCTGCAGCAATCCCCTCTCCCTGCTGGAGTCCCAGATGGAAGTGGACGACTACAGTCAGTATGAGGAGGACAGCACAGATGACTCCTCGTCTTCTGAGGGGGAGGAGGACGAGGAGGACTGCGAGGACGACTTCGATGATGACTTCATCCCTCTTCCTCCCGCGAAGCGGCTGAGGCTAATTGTAGGTAAAGACTCCATAGATATCGACATTTCTTCAAGGAGAAGAGAAGATCAGTCTCTAAGGCTGAACGCATGAGCTCTCGCTCTGCAGTTGTCCTGGGGAAGTAAAAGTAATCCCAGCCACAGCTTCTCAGCGCAGCACTTCTGTGGTCTCTTCACCTGTAGGCGTAATACTGTAGAAAGTGTACAGCATCCCAACTCTTAAGTCTGATTTGTGCAAATTTTTATCGTACTTTTTAACTAGCCTTCTTATGTGCAATTCCGAGTTAGAGGGAAGCCCTGTTGTAGGACAGAGGCTCCAGCAGACTCTCCAGTGACAGCCGCTCTCCACACAGGACTTTGAGACACTAATGTGCTTACACCATGTTGTAACTTACCTGTAAGAGAAAGTGCCAGCCCTCTTCCATAGATGACTAAGCTGTAGTTAGGGCGGAGCAGAGCAGCCTCGTAGGAAGGGTTTCCAGCATCTGCTCGTTTCACCAGCAACGACCTCTGGCTTTTGGTTTATTTGCTAGATGTTTCTCCTTGGAGGTGTCGGTTTCACACTGTTTACCGGCCCAGGTGTCCTGTCCGTGGCCTTCGATATCACAGAGACCATTTGGCTGGAAGTCAGATTGATTTCTTTGAAGAAAAGAAACTAAATTAAAATGCAGTCTTCTGCGTGACAGCTCATTTTCAGTACATTATATGTACGAGGCTGGTGGTGTGCAGGATGAGTTTTCAGAGCAGCTTATTTATTGCTTGTCATGTAAATTAAAGACCGTGTATTTAACACTTTCCAATCCTTTTAGATAAAATTGTTCTTTGCAAGAATGATTGGTGCTTATTTTTTCAAACCTTTGCTGTGAACAGCGTGGCAACAGCAAGCAACGTTTGTCTGATGAACTTCAGCTATCTTAATTTGGGTCTTCAAGTTTCTGTTGCACTTGTAAAATGCTACAAGGAATATTAAAGAAATCTATTCACTTTAACTTATAATAGTTTATGAAATAAAAACATGAGTCACAGCTTTTGTTCTGTGGTAACCTATACAAACATTTGTCTTGGGGATTCAATGTAAAGAGCTGAAAATGATGTATATGTTGTAAATATTTGTGTGTTGTGAGAAATTTTTGTCATAAGAAATTAAAAGAACTTACCAGGAAGGTTTTTAAGTTTAGAAATATTCATGCCAATAAAATAGGAAATTATAAATATATAGTGTAAGCACTGCATCAGTGGACATTCTTGGCTTATGTTAGTTTATTATGAAAATATCAGATTTTTTTGATTATATTATCAGTCAGACAAAAAGAGAAGTCAGATTTAATTTGTTTTTGAAGCACTTTGAGAAGAAAAATTAATTTTAAGTAACTTAATGAGCAATTTTTGATTACTGCTTTATGTTCAGTACCAGGCTTATTTGTTTCTCTGGATTATTTTGCAAATCAAAGAATTTGAAACTATCAGTTTGTAGCAGGTGTTTGACACCAGTGGGTCTGTTTATTTACTGGGAAATGTGTAGGTGTCCTTTCAGATATACAGTGTTCCTGAACAACACAAGTTAACGGGACTCAGTGTTGAGCAGGTCAGAGGGGACCTGCAGGGAGTGAAAGGTCCCCACAGATTATCTCGGTGCCTCCCTGTTGCTGGTGATACCTACTAGTGTTCAGCTTGGGGACACTTGGATTCCTAAAACTGTGACCAGTAGGTTCCAGGTAGTGAGATCCGTGAGCACGTCTAGGATTCAGATGTCTTTGCTTCTGTGCATATGAGTGAGACTCCCTGCTATGGTCCTGTCAGTCTTGTCCTTGTTGCCAGGCAGTCTGACCCTCAGGCATCTCCCGTTTGGCAGCAGGAGGGAGACTGCGTGCCTGCATATATACACTACCTTTTGCTATAGCCATGAAATAGGGCAGCCCTGTGTCTCAGGACCTCCTGTCTCAAGGCACCGAGAGCACCTCCCATCTGTGTGAGAGCCCCGTGCCACCTCTAGGAAGCTGAAGGTGGGCTCAGGAGCCTGCACGGGGCAGCAGGTCACCCTCGTTCCCGAACGTTCACTGGGCTATTTGGAGAGGCTCAGAGACTAAATCCTCCCCTTTCCTTGAAATCCAACAATAGACATTTCAGGAATTTCAGTCTTAAAGAAAAGGTAACAAAATATCACATTTCTCACTTTCTCCATTTTTAAGCTTAATTTTAGTAACTTATTTATGATGTTTATTTTAGTTTTGTGGCCTCATCTTTGGAGGCTGACCTTCCCATGGGTCTAAGAGCAGTGACGTGTTGAGGAGTTGCTGCCTCTCAGGAGTCGTATGCACAAGCATTCAGCAGAGCTGCTGATGCCTTCTAGGGAACTTTATTTCCGTTTCTCAAGGCAGGGGCCTCGGACTGTTCTCTATCTGCTGTAGAACTTCACTGTGGGGTGCCAGCACCCACATGCTTGACCAGTCTGGAAGAGGTCACACTCAATAAAACTCTCAGCTTGAGCTTATGCAATGATTGGTAACGTTTTTGGCAATTGTAAGAATTAGGAAATGATCCTAGAAATATATGTAAAGTATTCAATTTTCAATCATTTTTCAAATTACTGTTTTAAATTGTTTTGCTGAGTTGTAATACTTTTGAGATACAATGTATTCCTTGTACTGAAAGAATGAAAAGGACTTTTTCAGCATTTGAGGTAAGTTCTTTAACGTTTCATTAAAAACATTTTTTACAGATCTTTTGTACATGCACTTGCAGTATTGAGGTTAATCATTTTAATAAATTCGGAAATTAAAATGATTTCGTCAGTGTTCACTGTATCTTGAGGAGAAAAGTGAGTCTTCCACCAGATACTTACAGGAAGCAGTTTCTGAGTTGAAGAGAGCCATTATAGCACACCTTTAATCCCAGAACATGGGAGGTAGGCTCAGACAGATCTCTGTGAGTTCTAGGACAGCCAGGACTGACAGAGAAACTCTCTCAAAAATAACTCTGGTGGCCGTGTGTGCACAGTGACTCCCAGAGTGGAGGGCAGCCTGTTTCCCCACAGGAAGACTGCTTTCAGCATCCAGACCCACATGCTTTGCCCTCAGCGTGACACTGGAAGCCTTCCACCACCCAGCTAGCTTGCGCCAAGTCGCCCAGAAACCTTTCAGCTCCTCAGTTCTGTGTCACTAGTGTGCAGCTCACTGCCAGACTGGGGTACAAAGATACTGCCAGGCTCCAGGACGTCTATGGTCCCTGCAAGAGGGCAAGTGAGCTCTTGGCATGCATGAAAAGACTTCAGCCTTCCTCCCTAGTATTCCAGAGCATGTGGATGTTGTTTAGAAATAGATTCCAAACGGAGAACAACAGAAGGTCAGGTGTATAAATGACCACCGACCCTCTCCCCACCTCTGCCACACTCACCCTCCAAGATCAGTGAGCTTATATATAACCCAAACAGTCAATCTAGGACAGGTTACGAGATGACTTGACACACTATGAGAATTACTCTGTGCGTGTCATCAGATCTTGGAGTTTCCTGCTTAGGCACAGGCATGGTAGATGGGGCTGGCCCAACAAACACAGTCTGCTCTGCTGAAAGGAAACTGCTTTGCTGGGCCACATGGGCAGGTGCCCCAGTCTGAGACCTGAACAGGCATGTGTTACATGAGCCCACAGAATCTGTTAAAAGGATCTAAAATTTTATTTAGATACAAGATAGGAATAAACACTGATACAGAACAGATTAGGTGCTGCGATCCAGCTGCTATATCCTGCCATTCTGCCCAGGAATCAACTGCTCCTTGCTCTGGCTCCAACCACCAAAGAGAGAGCTAGAGCAAGAGAGCACATGACCCCCTTCCCTCAGCTCTTACGTGGTTATGTATGTAGACAAGATCACGCCCTAGGGCTTGCTGCCCCAAAAGCCCTTAGCTAAATGAGTTGAAATTCCACATCCCCCCCCCCTTTTTTTTTCAAAATAGGAAGGTTCTAATCCTAACATAAAACTATGTACCATGAGAACAACTATCAAGTTTTGTACAGAAGAAAGAAATAAATGAAACTACAACCAACAAGAACATCAAGCAAGAAACACAGACTGTGTTTAGGCTATAGGTAATTGACAAATTATAGAGATTATTCCAATAGCTGTCCTATCCTGGAAGGCCTAAGTCTTATCCCTAATAGGCCCTAACTAAGATATAAGAGGATGGTAACTGTAACTATTTAGTCTTCCACCCCATCAAAGACCTGAGAAGGAAAATAATATTACCCGAGTAAGTAGAAAGTACAAGCAAATGAACTCCAAAAGATGCAAGAAATGAGACAAACTGCTGGCTGCCTGGACAGTCACCCAATGTTTCTCTGTAACATTGGGGCAACCAATTTTGGCTATAGGCCTAGAATATCTGACAGACTATTTTCAGCAATAGGAAAATTTGAAAGACTGTCCTACCCTGTCTTGGCACTAGTTTAGCAGTTGCTTGTCTGGATTGGATAGCATGCTGTCAGCAGTAAAGGCAAGTGAAGTTCTTTGCCTGGTAGGCCAGTTTTGCCAAGAAGAAAACAAGCTCCATATGGAGCGTCTTCAGTGCTCACCATTCATTCAAGAGTAGATCAGTGCTGCCAGGAGCAGTTGTTTCTCATGTAAACAGAATTCTAAGTTATTAAAACATTTAAATGCCATTATCTGATAGACCTTTGAAGTATTTGAGGATTACCTATCTATATAGAATATGTCATTGTGCATCTAGAAAGCCTAACATAAGTATGGCAGATATGGGTGACTATTAGCTTGTAATACTTAATAACATAGATCTTAAAGACTAAACTTGCACATTATAAAAATAATCTGTAAACAGATATACAGTATATTTCTATTGTCAGTTTCGAGGACAATGACCTCAAAACTGACAATAGAAATGTATAGTGCAATATGACAAAAAATATTCTTAATTTGTGTTAATATATATAATATAAAATATCCTAAACAAGTAAAACATATATAATATGACAAAAATAATTTTGTTTGATTTTCCAAGAGAGGGTTTCTCTGTGTGATAGCCCTGGCTATCCTGGAGTTTGCTTTGTAGATCAGGCTGGCCTTGAACTCACAGAGATTCAACTGCCTCTACCTCCCAAGTGCTGGCATAGTATGCTTAGAATTGCTTCCTGCTGTCTGTGGGTGACTATCTCTATGGGATCCTGTAAAAAACTAAAGCAATGGTTAAACCTCATGAGGACTAGCTGTAACATTTGTAGCCAGTCTCTGAGTAATGACTAAGACTTATCTGAAGTTCTGGCTAGTGTAGTATAAAAAGGTGGACCATCTCAGCTAGCCGCTTTGGAATTGTCCTGAGAAGTTATAGTCCAAAACTGATCTCTGAATGGTGATTATTGTCTTAAAGGCATTATAATGGACCAGGTCTTCATAGTGCTTTATTTGTAAACTTGTGGTAATGCCACAAAGGGCCCTTTCAGAGACAATGTTTCACAGCCTTTGGCACCCTCCACACTGAAAGTAATTGGGGGAGGGGAGAGCAGCATTCCCAGGGTCCCTGGGAGAATCATAATCTTTTAGGAGACTTCAGAGCTCACTGTTAGGAAAATTATTAATATCAAAACAGAAAGTTTACATTTTAAGATAGATACATATCCAAAGAAAGGTTCTAAAGAGTCAAAAAGTATGACAAGAAAGAGATTTGTGACAACAGTGGGCTCAGGTTTCATTGGGCGCCACTTGAACCCACAAGAGTCTGTTAAAGGGTCTCAAGAACTTATTTTAGGAGCCGGGCGATGGTGGCGCACGCCTTTAATCCCAGCACTCAGGAGGCAGAGGCAGGCGGATCTCTGTGAGTTCGAGGCCAGCCTGATCTACAAGTGCTAGTTTCAGGACAGGCACCAAAGATACAGAGAAACCCTGTTTCAAAAAAACAAAAAACAGCCAGGCGGTGGTGGCTCACGCCTTTAATCCCAGCACTCGGGAGGCGGAGGCAGGCGGATCTCTGTGTGGGGGCAGCTCATCACGCTGGAGAGTGTTTGGTTCAAGTGCTTAGTAGTCAGCGCCTCTCCCAGGCAGCTAGGCTAGCCTAAGACTGTCTCAACAGCCCCTGCTGCTTGGGAGGTGCCCAGGAGAACTGATCTGTTTCAGGGATTTCCTGAAGTTGGTTGGACTTTGTTGTTGCTATTGTTGTTTTGAAACAAAGTCTCACTTATGCAGCTTTGGCTGGCTAGGAACTTTCTATGTAGACCAGACTGGCCTTAAACTCACAGGGATCTGCCTGCCTCTGCCTCCGGAGTGCTGAGACTAAAGGTGGGCACCGCCCTGCCCGGCCTCCTGAAGCGTTTGAGATGTCTACTTCTGGAGCTTACGGGTCCTTGGGAAAGACGGACTGCTCTACCTCCCTTTGGGGAAACGAGCTGTCTTAAGGAAATTGATAAAAGGTTTTTGATGAAGCCTCCCAGATGAAAGGTTTTATCTCTGTGGAAACTGTACACAATGTCAGGAGTCCCCCGTCCTCACCTTTTGAGGCTGGAACTACAAAGGAGCTCACTTGGCACTACATGGGTTTCTGGGTTCCTCAAGTGGCAAGCGTTCTAAGCGATGAGCCGTCTCCCCAGCCCCTTATCTCATCCTCTGATAAGAGGTCAAGAACCTAGAGTGATCTTGCCCAGACCTTGACCACCCAGAATAAAAGGAAAATTAGGGAGAAGCGCACTGTGGGGAGAGTAGAAACAAGGCTTTGTGAGGAGAGAAGGAGGGAGAAGGAACCAAAATGAAGTCGCTGGGAGGGGATACACAGACCCATGGAAACTCGCCACTTTGTAAGTGAGTTTCAAAATAAAGCTAATTTAAAAAAAATCACTGTGTTGGACTTGCCTTCTATGGACTCAGTGGGGTCAGGGGCAGTTTGTCCAAAGGTCAGGGTGCTGATAAGCAGGGCTACCCACGCCCACCAGTCAAATACACTGAGGAGCTGAAAAGTGGGAGAGGCGCATTGGTGCCCTTGGCATCTCCTGGGAGCTGAGGCTGTGGCTGCCCTGGAGAGGCAGGGACCCTTCCTTATCTGCCACCCCCTGGAACACCAGCAGCCCAGGGCCAGCACGGAGATGCAAGGGAGGGGTACAAAGTTCTGGAGATAAGGAGGGACACAGTGTCCAGGAGAGAAGGTCAGCACATGGGGCCCTCTGGATCTGAGTAGGGTGACAGAAGGAAAGGCCAGGACCGTGGTCAGGCATCCTGGAGGTACATGCCCTTCCAACATTTCCTGTCGCAGCCCAGCGTGTGGGAGGGATGGGAAGCAGAGCCCACTTACTGGATTAAGTCAGACAGGGCTGTGGAGATAGCTCAGGGGGTAAAGAATCAAGGCCCAGGTCTGCATCCCCAGAATCCACACAAAGCTGCCTGCAATAGTTCACATCTGTAAGGCAGTGCTCCTGAGTGAGATGGGAAGCTCCCAGGCCAGTCTGGCTGGCCTACAAAGCAGGGAACAGAAGACCCTGTCTCAGACAAGTCAGAGAAGTAGACCATGAGGACCAACACCCGCATGCACGCAGTCACACTCACACAGACAAATGGCTTGTGCACATACACATACATACACAGATAAAATGTATTATTTTATTATAGATTTGTAATTATTAGTACACCATTGTTGTTTATTATATTTTAACTCTATTGTTGTTGTTACAAGCAAAACAAGAGAATGCCCTTCGTGGTGGCAAAAAAAAAAAACAAACCCTATAATCTCAGCACTCTGAGGATCACAGATTCAAGACCAGCCTAAACAATTAGAAGCCTGTTT